CCCCCAGTTCTTGACTCCGTGTATGCTGCGTTTTTTTGTAGAGTATATGTAATGGTTCTTGCAATGACTCTTACGACAAGACAAACGAAAGCTTAATTCATGTATCTTCGGAAAAATATAACAATATTTAACTTCGGTTTACTGTGGGGCCATTTCACCTATTTTTTCCAGCCACCTTTTCCCGTGAAATGAAAACGTTTGGTTAGAATATTTCATGAGGCTAATATGCATTAAAAGCAGCGAAATGCGTTAAGCATCGTCGTGTATAAAAAAAGGTACTTACGTATAGCTGACCTGCCCTTCAGTAACATTGTCAAATGTCCCCTGTTACCTGATCTATGATGCAAATGTACAGGGTTCTTTGGTTGGCCGAAAGGGCCAGCTATTTTGGGCTTTTAGCTGCTTCTTCCCAGCATGAGGCCCTCGTGTACTGTCAATGGGTAGAAATACTACTCCCAGATGCGCTGGGGTTGGACCGAATCAGGTATCTGAAGCCAAAAAGTGAGTGCAAGACCGAGGTCATAAGTTCCAGACTCTTCTCGTCTCAACGCTTGACTCTAAGCAAATAGGCGAATCAACGCGACTTCATCCATTCTTTTCCGTTTATAAGCAGAGTTTCGAGGCCACTTTGGATGAGAATAACTTATGTGGCATTCAATGAAACTGAATGGTGGACTCATATCATTGTGGGAAACTTCAACTACCAATCCATGATCGCCTTAAATAAAATAAGTTGGATACATTTAATTCATTCATTCTGTTGAACTTACGATAGAAGACTCATGTTCGTCAGACATGAAGCCCAAAAAACGGTATTCCGGATTGAAGTATTCTCACTATACACCGTTTTCAAATGGCTAAAAAGCCTCTATCATTCAGGCTAAAGAGTAGTTTAAATGAGGTGAATATTAATCGTAATAAATATTGAAAAATGGATTTCGAGGAAACCCTAAATAAAGCAATTTGATTAAACAATCCTATTTGAACAAAGAGGGATGTTTACGAGCCTTCAATAAGCAAGCTTAATTTGGGTTATCATGAAGGGATGCAAACATCAAACATCCTCATTAATATAATAAAATAATTTCTTCTATGATCTGTTTCTACAAATTCTCTTCTGCGTAAGATTCGTATACGAAACTGGAGCATCTTGAAATAACGCGGATCATTAATAGGAGTTCGACAGACTTTATATTATTTTATATACGCAGAATAATTGGGTTTCAATTAATCTACTGAGATAACAGTGTAGGTCAGACTTTCATTTCGTATGAAATGACATGAAGAAGAGACTCTAAGGTCTATCTCACCAGAAGAGGACGGATGAATCCCGTTGTACTGCAGCCATTTGGATTTAATACGAATTTCAGGTTGACGCAGTCCACGAGACCTCCTTCCTCGTTTAGAGTGAAAATGGGCTAAGCCTTCGTGCACCAGAGGATGGACATCATCGGAGCTGGAACTCATTCTTATAAAAGTCTCAAGTTAACACTAGGCCAAGAAGACTATACGGCTCTATCTTACCTCTTACGTAGATTCAATTAAGCAAAAGAAAAATGAAAGGTCTAGATATATATAATGTTTTAACTAATTATCTTTCGTATTTGTCCGGCTACTTTTGTTACGATGTGTGTGTGTGTGAATGTGGTAACGTTTACACGCCATACTGGTTCTAAATCATAGTGAACAAAAAGGCTAATGCAAGACTTTCATACGAAGTCATAGTCTCCCCAACAAAATTAGATTATTTTGCAAAGACTACTTTTTGTGTGAGAGTCACTCCAAACTTGCTTTAGGTACACATTTATAAATGGTATCCTTGACTATGAGATGCGCGTCCAACCCCTAAAATGTTGGATTTCCAGGAGCTGTATGCATAGGGCCCTCAAATCGGAATGCAAAACTTTGGAAAGCCCACTGATAAATATTTCATATACTCATCTTTTCATATGCCTCGGCTGTCTTGTTTAAGTGGGGCAACTTTCGAGGCCCTGTCAGTCCTGCTACTTGATGCTCACCTGCCCTCATACCATCTGGAATCTGGCTGTTTGTCTGAAATACAAGTCGTGCCTACAACTGACAAGCAAGCCGAGACAAGAGGCACACTTTGCCAAACATCTTGGCCCGCCAGGTCCTAAGGCCAAATCTTCGCGTCGGTAGGTAACCTTTATTCACCGGCTCGTGAATATTCCCGTCAGGAGGGCAGCCTATTGCCTCATTCCACCGGCGCTAATAACCTCCTTTGAGAGAAATGTGTGGAAGGCTGGAACAACAGGGGTGAATGTGGGCCTGGACCTGTTCTACATGCAATGAGAAGGAGAAATGGCCGTAAAACGTTCAGGTTTTATGACGCTTGTACTGCGCCAGATTCCCCCAAATTTCCTGCCCAGTTCACGGGCGGTCTACTTCAAATCATGCCACCCGGCCTTCGTTTGGCTTGCTTCCTGAGGTCAGAATTGATGCAGGCCGGTGGGGATGAAGAGCGGCTGTAAACTGGGAGATGGGACTTAACAAATGTCCTGGCTGACAAAGCGGTTATTAAGACTGGAAATTGCATAATTCGAGCGGAGACAGGGAGTATGATGTTTCTAAAGGGTTAATGGGAGCAACGCATTTCCTATAGTTGCGCATGTGTATGTATTAGACGTAGAGACATACAAACATAGAGCAAGAGAGGGAGGCGGGCGCAGAAAGAGAGAGAAAGAGAGGCAATAGACTCAGCCTCAGTGAGTCGAAAAGTAGGCATGAAGGCTAGATCCACTAAAGGAATCCTGAAATTACCGGGAAAGGTGGTCGACATAAACTGCAAAAAACTTGATACTCTTGCCGGTGATAGAATACACCATCTAACGAATGTTTTCACTGAAATGACGGCAGTGCAAGAAAGTTTGGTTTTGCATTGAAACTCACCGAAACATGCATCGCAAGAGGTTGTACTCAATCAGACTGGACCCCAATGTTGAGCTCGTTTCGATATCACTGGCACCCTCTGTGATTCCAACCATGTACATGTGTGTCAAGAAGCAAAATGATCACTTCCTGTAGTTTACAACAAACATGGCGCACTTGAGGTTTCTATCTCGTGAAAAAGAAGAGCAAATGACAATGATGTGCTTAAGCAGATGTTGATTTGACTAGCATTTTGACCGAAATCTTTGTAATGAAGAGATTCAAAAGTCGATCCCACCAGAAGAATAAAGTGGATTCCTCTTGGTCAACTGTTGAGTGACTTAACTGGAGCATTCTTTCTGGCGTTTCCATCCCAGCAACAACTTGCTAATGGCTCCTTCTTACAGGCAACTTAAGCCAATCCTAAGCCTACGCTAAAGTCATATATATGCATATATAAAGTAAGTAGAGATACGAAGAGAAACTTGGTTTCGATGAATCTCCTGAGATAACATTGTTAGGGGGACCTTCATTTCATAGATACGAAGAGAAACTTAGTTTCGATGAATCTCCTGAGATAACATTGTTAGGGGGACCTTCATTTCAATTAAAAGTACATGATGAAGAGATTCGTTTGTCGATCTCACCAGATGAGGACGGATGAAAATCGTTGTACTGTAGCCGTTT